AAACATTTATCGCTATTCTGTCTCGGAAAACTGTCTTCATTCTTATAGTATTAAACACGAGAAGAAGCGTTACAAACAGCAAAATGTAATTGCTCATTTACTTTTGAATTCTTTTCTTCACTTGTTCTAACTGTTCTCTACAGAGTGAACTTGTGTGAGTGTATTAAACTTGACAGGGTGTATTAAAATTTCCCAAAACCTTATTCTTCAGGGTTTCCACACTCATGGAAATATCATGGAATTTGAAAATTGCATTGCTTTCGTATAGAGTACAATCTTCTTGCAAGCTGTGGAAATGTACGTGTTATGGATTTTTTTCTTCTTCAGGGAATCGTTTGCAAAATATTCTTAATGATTCATTAGTGAACTGGCCTGAATAAACATTATTTTTTTATTTTTTTGTCCAGCAATAGCATGATGGAAAGGTTATTGAAAAGTCATGGAAATTCATTCATTTGCCATAAACAGGGAACACTGATGCATAATGATGTTCACGAAATGACATATTCTTGGAACACAAATAAAAAGGTAGTTCAAAAGGCACCCTTTGACTCTTCAAACCAATTAAATTGTATAATTTTATTCCCTTGTGTGAAGACAGGAAGATTTAAAGCATATTTTCCTTGAAGTATCTTTTTTTTACTTTTGAGGGAAAGAGAGACTGAGTCAGAATAAACAAATGGATGTTAGAAAGTTGGAAGATTTCATCTCCTCAGCATGGTCTAAGCACATCTCATCCATCTTGCAGGTCTGCCACATGTTTTCAATCTCATGGACCATTCTGCATGTCTTTGTGTTTTATAGCCGCAGGACAGCTTCATGCTGAAAGCGCTCATTGCTGTGCCTCAGGTCATATACTTGTGTGTAAATGTTGAACATGCCCTTTAAATGTTTATATGGCTATGTGTCTGATCTTGGGAATATTTCAAACACTTCCAAGCAAGTCTGGAACAAACCTCTTACTTGAATATCAGCGCTACTTATCTTAAACACAAAAAAGACACAAGACAATGTCCAAGCAAATCTGTTTCATATGTTGTTGATCCACCAGCTCAACCACTTCTGATTTACCTCGCAGAGTGAATCATGTGTAATGCTTTTAGCCACTTCAGGGAATGTGTGCATCATTCAGAATGGCAAGAGGAAAGAGGTTAACGTGCTCTTCCTGGGGTTCAGGCCCCTTAATGACCCTACCAGAAGCTGCTCTGCATACTTTCACTGGTGTAGTCATTAAGGCAAGCTTCCTCAAGAACCCCAGCACACTATCCCTGTATGATTCAGTTTAGATCCAGACCCACTGAGTTTAGCCATTGCTTGTTTCTGCTGGTCAAGATTAGTCTTGCCTGGATGGCCACAGAGACCTTACACAACACTAATTAAAAAAACTGTTTGACCAGAAATATTGCACTTGCTACCAGAAGAGTGCAGTCTAAAGAGCAGGGACTTTACCATGACTGAAATGATAAAGCAAACTTTTCCCAGACTACAGAAACTTTGGTTTGGATCTTTATTTTCCTCCAGCATTAGTAGTCAAAGCACTAGACACCTGCAAACCACGTGTTCCTTACTGAGGTCTTGATGTGTGCCATCAGGTCTTGAGTCTTTGCCTGTTGCTTGACAACTGGCAAATCTTGTGTGTTTGTCTGTTTTTGTTTGTATTTCCAGTTTGTCTCTGAGAGCCCACCCTACAGGTCCTGTCCTGCTCAATTAGAGAGAAATAAGTTGCTTTGAAGAACAGCAGTCCTCTTTAAATGGCCTCATAAAGAAACCTCACAGAAGATTGCAGTGCAGTACGGTTATTTAACCGCTTCTGATGAGACGTGTTATGCTGTACAGTATGTGTAGTGTCAAATTGCATGATTTTTTGGGGGGACATGAACATGGTGGTACCATGGTATTCTTTGAAGCATCTTGGAGCATCGTAGTACATGGCAATCATTCAGAGCCATGGTATTAACATCTGGCATCACGCCACCACTATAGTACCATAGTTAATTTAGTACGCAATGAAAGGAAAAGAGTTTGTCTGTGTGAGTGTAAATTGTATGAGTAGGGTACAAGAAGAACCTCTAACCAACAAAGTTTCTTCTCTCTCTTGGAAAATAATAATATTGTCTCCATTCTTACTAAATTTACCTTTGTGAATATTGGCATCTCATCTGGGACACTAACTACTTCCTGTTTTATACTGTTCTAATGACCTCACACGCCACCAAATTGCCCTAAAACAGGACACTCATGCGACACTGAGTGTCCAGAAAACCTGAGGTAAGATTTCATTGGAGCTGTCTACTTTTCCATTCATGCATGCTGGACTTAAACGTTGCCCATAAAAAGGAATCGCCCACTGCATGACTCTGTTTGCGTTTAGCCATTATGTAACAGTAAGTAGCCATTTTTATGTTCTGTCAATCTCACAGTCGTGCTGTATATCAGAATGCTTGTGATTATCTGTAGCCCAATCATAGCCATTCTGATATTTAGCAAAACAACACCAGCACTGTTGAAATGGCTTAAACAAATACAGATATTGGAATAATTCTACAGACAGAAAAATACAAGAGCACTAACCATAGAATTGAGGTGTCTTTTTCAGAGTTAGAGCATGCTTCCATATTGCTCTCCCATGCATTTTTCTTTTTCTTTTTTCTCTATTAAGAGACAAGTTAATGAAGGTCATTTCAGGGATGCAGATGAACATATTTTTAGAATATGCTCTAAGTCCCAGAACATCTGGTGTTTCTTGTTCTCCAGCTTCCAACAACTAAGTCAGCATGTCAACGGTATCCCATTATGCTCCACATAGACAATGAAGAACTTTTTTTAAACAATGACCCCTAGATTTTAGGACAGTAAGTTAAAATGTCTTTTTTGTCATGAGAGTAAAGTTCCACAAAAATGATGCCAATAACATGATGTTTTGGCAGACGTTGGACTTAAAATGACTGTTATCCAACACCATTCTGTTATATATCTTAAATCTCTTATACTATAGGTCTAGAAAAATGCATTAAAGCATGTAAAGCTCCTTCACAGGAAGCACTTATTAAATACTGAATTTCAACAGGACCACTGGACTGACACTAATCGCAGCTGTTTTGGACCACAGAAACTGGTCCATTGCTCTGTTCACAGTTTGCAGCTGCTTTACTTCATAAAATTTCATTTTGTAACGTTTCCTGCTCTTGGTTGAAAAAATTATTTTCTTTTTAAATGCTGGGGTGCCAGACAGAGTTTCTGTCGTTTAATCAAACCAAACTTAGTCAAGTCAGTCTAAGTCAAGAAACATACAAAGGCCTGTGTAACTAAATAGCCACATACCCTGAAATTTGTGAGTTAGGAAATCCTTAAATTTTACAAATGGGAAAAAAAACCTTCAACATAAAAAATAACATTGAACACAAATCACCTTTTGCAGTTTTCAGATCAATATATTCAAGGTTCAAAAGTTCATCAAATCAGACAAAACATAATAAATGCACAGAAAAGGAGAGCAAGCAGTTCATTAGAAATTGTCCATAGCATAAGCAATGTAGTCCAGCCAAGGAAAATAGATCAATTCAAGCCCAAAACATTCCGTTCAGTTTCTGATATAATCATCAGCACAAATGAACTCCCAATAGTCAAAGTGGCACACACACACAAAAAAAGTAATACTAATATTATCAGTCAACCGTCAACAGTATCCACAGCCGCTGTATTTTACTCACAACCTCGTTTTCCAGAAATTCCAATTCAATTCCGTGACTCTGTGACTCCTAAGCGTTGAGATTGATAGTTTTCAGACTCCCGATCCGTCAGTCCATGTCAAAATACACACTTGCTCAACGGCATCCTTGCAGCGTTTAAACAACAATCTACTTGGCATCCAGCAAAGTGTGATGAAGTGATTAGTAATCCAGCAAATGTGAAGTTGTTGGATCGCTATAATCGCCGACGGACTTAACTTTCAACGCGGTAAAACAACAGAAACGCCGCGTGAATCTTCAGAGCTTCTCGAGATACTGCTTGCCGCTTGGCCACCGCCATCCTACCAAAACGGACGTCATCAACTAATAAAGGTACATCCGAGGGCGGAACTCGTACCGTAACCACCCAGATGACTGGAACTACAGAAATATTTACTAATGCTACATGCATTTAGTGTTCTGATTGGGTTAACATGAATGATGAGAATGAATGATGATTAATACTTACTGTTAACATATTACTGATGATGAAAGATATTTCTAATATTGAATGAGTAATGGATTCAAAAGAATTGAATAGATGCTAATTTATTTATTTTTGTGATGACATCGTCACAATTTGAGTAGGTCAGTTATATGAAAGTTAGATCTTAAAGGGCCTCAATCCAAGTAACACTTTCTTGTCTCTAATACAAGACCTGATCTTTCATATTTCAATATTTTAGACCTGTTTTGCTCTGACTTCCCATTGACCCTAGGATCAGTCATTCTTTACAGATTTCAATCACACAGGTTTATGTTCTGCTGATACAGTGGATTTGTTCTGCAGATTCTGACATCATGACTGAAAAACCACAGTGTATTGCTGTTGGCTCTCGAGTGTTACAAATCATTCATATTGTTTATCAACACATTCAGATGGACAGATGGGAAAGAGCATGCTAATGTGTTTGAGAAAGAGTCACGTAATGGCTTTCATGTGTTTGAAATATATGGATGTCATTCTTGAATGACTTTCTTGTGAATGTTGCATAACTAAACATACTCCCAGCAACGAATATCTCACTACTGAGCTGACACAACTGTGAATCATTACGGAAAAATAAAAAAATAAAAGAGTCAATAGAGACTCTTTTATTTCTTTGAGATTATTGTTCCAGAACACCCCTGACTGAATGCCAGCAATGCAGTCCACTGTACAGGAGCAGTAGATGGTGCTGAAGCCATGTTGTTGTTTCATGGCAGAGAGCCGACCCTATGGCTCAGGGCTGAGCTATATAAGTACCGGACACAGACGTGGACTTCACATTCACTCTCTCTCCTCCTCATTCCAACTATTTAGCAACTGCTCTGTAAATATACCACAGAAACAAGCAGGAGTACAAAAGCTTTCCATTTCACCGAGAAACCTTTGGTAAGGTCTGAAGCTTTTCATCTTTTTTACTGTAACCACATTTTGTGGATTTGGATTCAGACACTAATGCTTTCTAAATAGTTTTCTGTAGAAAGAAATTCTCACTATTGTAGATTTTGTATTCATCATATTGATTTTTGAACAAAATTACCTGTTCATGTTTTTTTGCTAACTGCTTTATATGTACAAATTATTTTTATCTACATATCAGTTTGTAATATAGTACTTCATAGTTTGATTGTGACATTAAAACAATGCTTCAAAGTTCAGTCGAAGAGCTGTTGCATTTTGTAGTCATTTTTGTATTGAAGTAATCATGTTGTGCCTGGTCTTTTAAAGTTGTAACAAATGCGAATACAGACAGCAACTGTTAAAACTGACTGCATTGAAAATATTTTGTTATGCCATACACAAATTGTACGTGCATATGGAATGTGTACTTAGGTCTTTTTGGCTGGATGTAAAAACATTTGTGCATTCCCTTGACACGCAGTGATGGCTCTCACAGATGTGATATTTGAGAGCAGCTAAAATTCTAAGTACTGAAGCTCTTTCTCAGCAGCTTGTCTTTTTTTTTTTCAGTATGCGTTTTCAAGGATTCTGTTCATTTTCAGCCATTTCTTTAAAATAGAAAACTTTTAGGTAAACTCATTTTAGAATTCTTCTCAGGTCAGTTTGAATTTTGAAAGGTTGAAATGAGTTCATAACTAGTTGAACAGGGACATGGGAGTTTCCTGTATGATTTCCCGAAACAAAAACAATATGGTCCATTTCCCTGTGTGCAATTTACTAATCGTCTTCATATTTATATCTGATCGGCACAATATCTGTGGCTGGACTATTCTTAGTGTGGAGAGAGCTGTGTGTGAGAGGTCAGAACCCCTTTACCGGAGGTTGGAGGTCATTAACGGGAGCCAGGATGGGCTGCCTCTCAACCTGGACCTTTCATCTGCTTCTGTTGGGAATTACAGGCACCTTTTCTCAAGGTTTGTTTGCCTGTGAATTTTAATCAGCACATTTCACACTGAATTGTTAATGCAAGTTATCGCTAAAAGAGTTCTTGCATGTCATTGCTCATGGAAGAAGCTGAAAGATTTCAACAGGATATTGACAGCTGGCTCTTAGAAACATGACTCTTCCAATACCCCAACCCCCAAACCTCTCTTCAGCAAACCCATTACTGAAGGCAACATTGTTCTAGTGTCCCCAGTATATCCAGAAGCAGAGGTGTTTTGCGAGCCAGCAGCAGAAAGCCACCTGCTAGCAATTGGTTCTACTCTGTGTGTGAACCACTAGCGGAAATCTCTTTCTGAAGTAATCTGAAGGATTACAAAAGAAGTAATATTTTATTAACAAGACCCACGAAAATAAGCCCTAAATAACCTATAATATACTTTATTTTTCTTACCGCATCCAAAACCCATCAGTGGCTTGCATCATTGTAAAACTATACGAAGAAACTAATGCAGTTTCCTTATTAGGGACATGGAGAAGCATCATGGGGACATCATGGAGACCAAACCCAGCTGTGTACCATTATGAAGGTAGGCTTGTATGATTCTGAGAAAATACATAACCAATCACATATTTCAAAAAGTGAGCCAAACTGGTACTTAAAACCATTAAAACTCCTCTCAAAACTTTCCTCAGATAATTACGAGTGGACAACATGGTTCAATGTAGATCACCCTGGAGGGAAAGGAGACTATGAGAAGCTGAATGCCATTCGTTTTTATTATCGAGCCCGTGTCTGTGAGGTTCCTCGAGCTCTAGAGGCACGTACTACCGAGTGGATCCCAGCTCGCAGCACTGGGGAAAGAGTACATGCTGACCCAGCTGTGGGCTTCTGGTGTGTCAATGATGAACAGCCTGTTGGGAGAAACTGCTCAAACTATGCTGTACGTTTCCTGTGTCCTAAAGGTAAGTAAATGAGCTGTAAAAGACAAATGATGTTTCTATGTTCAAAGCTCAGTGTTATTGTGCACATTTTCTCTGATTTCTGATTAAATAAGCAAATGAAATGCGGAAAAGGTGGATTTGTTGATGTTACTGCAGAAATACTTTTTCACAAATGTATTATTTTTAATTTACCATGAGTTAACATCACAGTTTTGGATTTGTGATGACACCCTAGAAATTTAGCAGAATCTCTCTATCTCTCACCATTCAGAAATTGTTTCAGATGTTGAAGAAGTGATATGGGGTCCATGGTCAGACTGGAGTCTGTGTCCAGCTCAGTGTGATCAGGTTGCAATACAGCATCGCTCTAGAAGCTGCAAATCCAGTTCCAAACAATGCAAAGGCCAAACTGTCGAAGCCAGGCCATGCCAAGGGCCACCTTGCCCACGTAATGCATCTACTGTTTCCTACAGTTTTAAAATGATAATGTCTTGTCAATTAGAATTTCAGATAATCTTCATTGTCATCCATATTTACAGTCAAAACCAAACCAAAATAATTCATTCAGTTTACCTTACAGTTGTTGAAAAATCTCTGTTTCCTCTTTTTCTTTCTTAGGCTGTGAACTGCACTGTGTGATGGGCAAGGTAAATGATGAGTGCGATGGCTGCATGTGCCAGGATCATACAGTTTTAGGATCAGTCCGTAGTGCCGGGAGTCTCCCTGCACCTGGAACTGCCATCCTCCATGCTGGTGCTAGGCCCAAACTCTTCACTGTAACTGATCACAATGGCCATTTTCAAGTCCCTGGAATCTGCCCTGATGGCAACACGACACTAATGATCAAGCTGAAAAACCACGCTCCACACCAAGTCACTGTTCCCTTGAGCAGTGAACGCACCTCCGTTCTCCTTTTGAAGCTAGAGAGAGCAAGTAATGCTTCTTTAAAGACCTTGAATCCATTTGACCTATGAACTGTGTGAATCTGTATTAGCATTAGAATACTATCTCAAGAAGACTTTCTGAAGATCAGTTTAAATGTTAAAGTCATTTCAGGGCTCAATAATAGATAAGTTGGGCCTCTAGTTTTTGATGGCTCGACTACAAAAGAATGATCAATTTTATGCATTACAATTTTATTAAATATTTTATTTTTTACTAAAATAATTTCTCTTTACAAAAAGAAATTAACAAGTATATAGCTATGATGTAAACCCCAAAATTTTGCTGGAAAACAGTGGCATACAATGTAAAACATTACTGATTGGTTTGTAGTTTAACACATTTGTATTGATGCTTCCAAGGCTATCACAAGTCATTTTGACAATTTCAATGAAACCTCATTCATGTTAGCTAGCTTTATAATGTTGGTGAAAAAATAGCAATACAATGTGGAATATGTCACAGGAAACTAAAACATTTAAGTTTGAAAAGCATACAAATGGATGTACAAAGTCAGTGAATCTAATGCAATATCAATGTGCTTCTCAGAAAAACTGTATGTGTTGAAAAACCCTGAGAACAAGGCTAGAAGGGAAGGTCAGACCGCTGCCTTCTGTTGTAAGGTTGATGGGACACCTGAACCAAACCAGTATGAATGGTAAGCTTAAGCTTTCAGATATAAATTGATGTTCACTATGAAATTTTGGCTGATTACAAGGAAACCATGTTTCCTTATCTGATGGTATTAAATGAGGAAAAAAAAAAAGAGAATGACAAAGACACTCGAAAGTCAAAGCCCTCATGTGTTACGTTCCTTCAATAAAGTATTAAAATAAATAAATACATACATAAATAAGGAGGACAGTTATATGAGGACAGTTCAGACAAACCAGGTTATCATGAAGATATTTCTTCATCCCCACAGCATGGCAACAATTATCCTAAATGTGAGAAAAACTATGATAATCGCTGATAATCAATCTTTAGGTTCCACAATGGTACTCTGCTGGACAGGAGTCAATATCAATATGACGAGACACTGGTTTTGAGGAATGTCAGTTTGGACCATGTAGGAGAATACTACTGCAGAGCCAGTAATGAGAACGGAGCCATCAAATCTAAGCCAGCCACCCTCACAGTTATTGGTGTGCCCTGTCATTCTATTTTAACTACACATATTTCATATTAACCTAAAATTGATCAAAATACTTTACAAATAGTCTGGTCTCAGTTTGGTATTTATCTGTTTTCTATCCATTTCTATGTTAAGGTCAAAAAGCACCATCATGCAACCCTAAGCCTTATTCCCATCTGATTCGACTACCACATGACTGCTTTCAAAATGAGACCACCTCTTTCTACTATGATGTGGGGAGATGCCCAACATCTACATGCACAGGGAAGCTGGATCTCGGCATCAGATGCAAAGACTCAGTTTCCTACTGCTGTGGAATTTCAAACATGGAGGAGAAAGAGATTACATGTCAGGAATATCAGTTGCCCATCATGGTAGTGACTCAGTGTGGTTGTAAAACATGTGTGGACACAAAGGCTATTGTTCGTGGACGTGCTATCGCAGCAGACACTGGTGAGCCCATGAGGTTTGGACACATCTACATGGATGGCGCAAGAATAAGTCGAACTGGATACAAAGGCACATTCTCTATCCAGGTACCTACAAACACAGAGCGTCTGGTCCTCACCTTTGTGGACAACATGCAGAAGTTTGTGAATACCACAAAAGTGCTACCATTCAATCCTAGAGGTGGAGCTGTGTTCTACGAGATCAAGCTGCTGAGGAAAAAGCCAGCTGTGATTATTAGCTCAAGAGAGACTAATAAGCTAGATCTTGGTGAGGTAGAAGGCCAGGATCCCATTGCGGAGATCGAGATCCCACCAAATGCATTCTATAAAGAAAATGGAGAGGTGTTCATGGGAAATGTCAAGGCCAGCGTGACTTTCCTCGACCCCAGGGATGTATCAACAGCAGCGGCTGCACAAAGTGATCTCAACTTCATTGGTGATGAAGGTGACACTCTGCCCTTGAGGACCTATGGAATGTTCTCTGTGGACTTCAGGGATGAAGAAGGAGGTGAGTCGCTCAATGCCGGAGAGGTGAAAGTGCGTCTCGATGCAGCACAAGTGAAGATGCCCGAGCACTTGAAGACCATGAAATTATGGTCCCTTAATCCTGATACAGGTTTGTGGGAGGAGGAGGGCCAGTTCCATGCTGAGAAGAAACAAAGGGGGAAAAGAGAGGAGAGGACCTTCCTCATAGGTAACATGGAAATCCGTGAGAGACGGCTGTTTAACTTAGATGTACCTGAGAACAGGAGATGTTATGTGAAAGTGCGGGCTTTCCGTAGCGAACGGTACATGCCTAGTGAGCAAAGTGAAGGAGTCGTGATGACTTTAATAAATATGGAGCCCACGCCAGGGTTTTCAACCAACCCTCGGGCTTGGGGTAGATTTGATAGTGTCATCACTGGCCCAAATGGCGCATGTCTTCCAGCCTTCTGTGATGAACAGAAATCAGACGCATATTCAGCCTACATCATGGCCAACCTTGGGGGAGAAGAGCTAGAGGCAGTAGCATCCTCTCCAAAGTTGAATCCTAACACCATTGGCGTCCCGCAACCCTATTTGAATAAACTAAACTACAGACGCACGGACCACGATGATCCCAGAATAAAAAAGACAGCGTTCAGCATCAATGTGGCCAAACCCCGGTCAAACGTGGCTGAGGAAGCCAATGGTCCAGTTTATCCATTTGACAAACTTAAAGAGTGTGCGGAAGCTCCATTCAGTGCAGCTCACTTCCGTTTCTCAAGAGTTGAAGGAGATCGGTACGATTACAACACAGTGCCTTTTAATGAGGATGACCCCATGAGCTGGACTGAAGACTATTTAAGTTGGTGGCCAAAACCCATGGAATACAGGGCCTGCTACATTAAAGTAAAACTTAACAGTCCCCATGAGCTCAACGTTCGGTCTCGCAATATGGGAGGTACCCATCCAAAAACTGTTGGCCAACTGTATGGCATTCGTGACACAAGAAGCATCAGAGACATGGACCAATCAACTGTTTCAGCAGTGTGTCTGGAATTCAAGTGCAGTGGGATGCTTTATGATCAAGACCGAGTGGATCGGACCCTTGTGAAAGTAATGCTTCAGGGCAGCTGTAAGCGAGACAGTGTAAACGGCATGCTACAGGAATACTTGGTGAACCACCTTCCACTGGCTGTCAACAATGACACAAATGAGTTCACCATGCTTGCACCTCTAGACCCACTGGGCCACAACTACGGTATATATACAGTGACTGACCAAGATCCTCGGACAGCCAAAGAAATTGCGCTTGGCCGTTGCTTTGATGGTACTTCAGATGGCACCTCTCGAGTCATGAAGAGCAACGAAGGAGTGGCATTAACATTCACCTGTGGTGATAAAGAGGTCACTAGGCAGAGTATGTTCCAGCAGATACAGAACTCACTGGGTCAGGCCACAGCTGGAAGTGCACGGCCAGGAAGAGGAAACCGGCGGCAGAGAGGTGGCTCAACAGCACTTCGCAGTAGTATGAGGAGGAGTACTCGTAATTCCTACACACGTGCCCAGTCCATTGGTTGATATTCCTAGAACTTAAAAACTATACATGAGACAAGACAGACCCATTCCTTATGGGGGCTGCTCTCATGTTTAACTCAGAGTTACTGGATTTAGGCCATTTTAAAACTTGGCAGAATAAGAAAATTAAGGTTGTATTTGAACATGGCTGGGGCAAAGTCCCACAGCAATTTAGTATTGCTGATAACATCAACTGGCAAACAATATTACAGATTTCATGAATTGCAACTCAAATTCATATTAGAGTGAAGAAAACAACTTTTTTACTTTTATTAAAAGCCTATCAAAACCTAACAAAAAAATCACCATATTTTTTAACAGTAACTCCAAAGGAATGTGTGCTTCATGTAATTTTTCATTTTTATATTTTCTATTGACTTGTACTGTGGTAAACATTTTACTACTTGAAACTGTAAATACTCAAATATTTATTGCATACTTCAGATTATCAAAAACAAGGCAGTAGAACATCACATTTCCACTCAAACATGTATGCCATTTATCACTCATTAATTAAAACACTCTGAAGTTGTCCAAACCCTTTACAAAAATACCAAGTTATACCTTTAGTCCAATGATTTTATTAAATTAGAGCTTTAAAAAAAACAATGCCTTTGTGTTCTCATTGCCCAATTTTAACAATGTATGAGAAAATCCTCCAAGCTGTTTTTTATAAATATTTTTTGCCAATAACAAGTTTGCATTTCATTTTACTTCATGTTTGTAGAAGCTTACTGTATAGTGACAATGGGTCAAACAAAAGCACGAAACCCCATGGATCTGTTGCTTCAACTAATGATGATTAAACCCGATCATATACTGTCATATGAGCAACACTACTGAATATCATTAATCGATCAAATGTGCAGCAATACTTTAAATAGTTCATTTAAAATATACTTTGGCGGAGAAACAACTGCACCATAGTTAGTCTGTTCTGCATTCATATGAAGGCAATGTCAACCGATTCAAGATCATGCTTGGATTCAGTTTTGTTTTACTTACATTTTTCCATTCTTTCATTTAGTCAGGGTGCCTCCTCTGTTCATTATGTAGTGTTGACTCAAAGCACTGACAAAGTCCTATTATTTCAAATGTTGAATGGTTCACACTTGGAAAACTGTTTCCAATTATGCAAGAAAAGTACAACTATACTTTCAATAAGGACATTCTTGGAAGAAATTAATTTGCATAGAGCATTACATTTACTTCCGTGTAACTGAAATTGCACAGCTTTAAAAACATGTCACTTTCAAGGAAAACAAAAAGATATTGTCTGCAAAGTTTTCTACAAGGCATTGAAATGCTTATTGAAGCCAATCAGAGGAAACGCCTCCATCAAAAATGTCCCATATCATATAGTGTTTTCAAAATAAAAATGAGATTTCAAGGCCATCTGAAAAAATTTACTTTTCCCCCATTTGCCGCTGAGGTGCAATGGGCTGATAGCAGCTTTATGAGGAGTCCGTCACCAGTGGAACCAAGTAAAGGGTTGACACTGTTCAGTGTCAAAGATGGCACTGAGAAGCATGAAAGGGTAATGTTGCATGTCTGCAAGGGCATCTGGGCAGAGAGGGAATGGGAACCTTCGTCACATGAAGTCATCATAGTCATTGCCATAGCCATCATCAAAACCACCATAATCAGCAAAGTTATCTTTCATGTTTGCTTTCAATCCACCACCAGGGAGTACACCTTTCTTCTTTTTCTTATTTGCCTTCTTTTCCTGTGCATAACAGCAACAAATTAATATTGAGTATTTTGCTGTTGATATTTTGATTATAATGAACAATACAGAATTACTATAAATAACAAGCGTGTTGGTGCCTGTAAATAAGATCCTCAACTAAGCAAGAATCAAGTTATTTGCACTCAAAAGAGGTTTTGAAAAGGTCCTCTAAAACAGAGCAAAATCATTCAACTTACCTTTTCTTGCTTTTGTTTTTCACTGAGCAGAACAGATAAAGAATTACTTATTTTTTTCAGGTCATCTACTTCCACTACACAGAGGGGGGGAAAATAAAACATTAGTCTAAAGACATGTGCAAGGTTTTATGTTTAAGAGATCCAACATATAATCTAAAAAGCTGTGGAAATAGCAGTAATTTGCATTATTAAAAAAAAAAAAAAAAGCTGACAAATATCCACATACAAATAAAAAAAATATTTACATGAACTAACATGAAATACAAAGCTCTCGAAACAGTGACTCCAAAAAGCTGGAATAATGCACTGATTTTTCAAACTGTGTTATCTTATCTTTCAGTAATTTTTCAAATGCAACAAAGTCATCTTTTGATGAAGGGCACATGGCTTCAATTCCAGAGGCATTGTTTGTTGTGATAACAGTAGTAGAGGCATTTGCAGCAGCAGGATCAACACCTGAAATCAGAGCGATTGTTCAGTGATTAACTGTTCAAATTTGGACTTGGAAGACTTCACATACTTATTTCTTACCAAACGCCTCACGGGTCAATTCCATGTCTGCCTCCTCCTGCAGTTTTATCAGTCGAATCGTCTCTGCATGCTGCTCCTCTGCTGATAGATTCTCACTTTTTGCGGTTTCGTCCATCTTTTCACAGGTTTCAAAAACAAAGGTTAAACGGTTAAAAGAAATAAGTAACTACAAAGACGGGGATTAATCCATTAATGAGTAATTATACAAGTAATAATAATTTTCTTACTTTCTTTCTCAACTCATCTTGTTTTTTCTTTTGCAAAATTTCTTTCTCTTTTATTTTATCAGTGAATTTTTTCTTCTCAGGGGGTTTCACCTCTATAAGAAATGTAAATCAAACCATAAGAGTACTTTCCACTTGGATTAAAAGAAAAACAGTAATAAAACAACACACACCCCAAAGACATACTTAATGGCAAGTTTTACAAATATGCAATGGCTCTGCCTACAACATGTTTACATTGTAAAATCTGACCGCTCAACAGAGATCAATACCTGCTTTTTTCTGTTCAACTTTCTTCTCTTCTTCCTTCTCCTCCTCATCATCATCCCAATTATCCTGCAGAAAGAAAATGTATGGTAATCATACGTAAACTAATAAAACGATTTGAACTCAATTAAGGTTTTCATGTCCTATTTGTTTAAGCTGCCGTGTAATAAGCAGAATAATGTAATGATTCAATAAAATAACTGATTACTTATTTCTTCACCATTAAAGTGGTCATATGACGTTGCTAAAAAAGAACATTTTGTGTATTTGGTGTAATGCAATGTGTTTATGCGGTTCAAGTTTCAAAAAACACATTATTTTCCACATACTGTACATTATTGTTGCTCCTCTATGCCCCGCCTGAAAAACGTACTTACAGTCTGTGAGTCAGAACAGCCAGCATTTTAGGCTACTCTCCCAGGTTCAGGAAACAGTCCTCCGTAAAATGCACTGCACACATCTGAATATTTGGGTTGAACTGTTCTGGAACAGTGCTGTAAATACAACTTAACCACTGATTTCTAGTCGTGTACTCTTTTGGAAGGTCAAACAAAGTAGTTTCGCTTTCAAACGAAACACACATGGCAGCGGCGGCAACAATACTACAACGAGAATCAAAGTTACGCCTTCTTTCTTTGCGTGAACATTTGAGCGGTGTTATGCAAATCTTCCCACACAGTGACGTAGACATGTGGGGGCGTGTTTAAACGAGGCGTTTTAGGAGGGCGTGGACGAGTCTTAACTTTTAAATAGAATATCTCTTTGGGTTTGAGACTTTAGTCTTTGCAACTTTAGGGATCTTATCTATGCACGAACAGCTTGTAACACTCCAAAGAGTAAGGATCATATATAATCGCATCATATGACCCCTTTAAATTAATAACAGCACAAGTGTTTTTGATTAGTTTGGCCATTGTAATTACACAGGGCCAAAGATTATAAAACAACAGTTTTTTAAACATACACAAAAGTGTAAATTCCTTTGTTAATAAACAGTGAATACCAAACTGGCAGAAATGGTTATGAAGCAATTTAAAACAAAACTGATGGTAGCTAATTTTAAAAGATTTTAAAACACAAAAACAATCATTTTGAAATTTCCCGAGTCAGACATTTCCAGGTTTTCTTCTGTCATTCCAGAAAAGTTTATTTGAACTCTTGAAGCCCCGGTTAGCGGGTTCATTAGGGGAGTCTTTTCCAGAGCTGCCTTTCAAACAAAATAACTTGCAGTATATGACAATAACACACACACACTCTCAATTTTTTCAATTCAATTCAATTAGCTTTATTGGCATGACAAAAAGCACATTTTGCATTGCCAAAGCATGCATAGGAAAAGAGAACATATACAACAGTGTAATTTGGAACAATATAGCAATTGAAATAACATTTGAACAAGTAATATTGAAAGAATGAAATTAAAACATATGGATACATATAAACATATACTGTATATGATATAGTAAAGGTTATGGAACAAGATTATTTCTGTATTTATTTAATTAATAAACTGAATAACTGGATTCAACATTATCTACAGTCGTGTATTGGTTGGTTTGGGTTTGTCCAATGGGTGATGTACTTGTCTTTCTCGGTGTTGATGATTTGTGTGGGCCGAATGGTTGAGAGTGTGTGTGAGTTCTGAGGCTGGCTGATCTCTGTCGGAGTGATCTCAGTCAGTCTCAGCACCAGCTGAAGGAGAGGACTCTTCGTGAGCTTCAGCTCTTGGTGTTTCAGGGCTTTATAATGGTATGTGCTGGGGTCGCTTAATTTTGGGACAGTAGTGGTCTCTAATGTTTTGGTATTTGGGGCATTCTGTGAGGAAGTGCAGCTCTGTTTCAATCTCTCCCAGACTGCAGTGGAAGCAGATTCTCTCCTCACGGGAGAGCCAGGTTTGTCTGCACCGGCCCGTCTCTACAGACAGACTGTGCTCACTGAGTCTGTACATCGTCAATGTTTTCCTGAGTTTCACATCAGTCACTGTGCTCAAATAGTTTGCCATGGTGTACTTTCGATTTAGTGCCGAATAACATTCTAATTTGTGCTGGTTTTTAATGGGGTTTGTCCAATGGGTGATGTACTTGTGTTTCTCTGTGTTGATGATCTGTGTGGGCCGAATGGTTGAGAGTGAGTGTGAGTCCTGAGGCTGGCTGATCTCTGTCAGTCTCAGCACCAGCTGAAGGAGGGGACTCTTCGTGAGCCTCAGCTCTTGGTGTTTCAGGGCTTTATAATGGTATGTGCTGGGGTCACTTGTCTTTAGGTGTTTCCAGAATTTGA